AAGGGCCATTTACTATTTTTTAAAGGCTGACATTTTCTTTTAAAAAAAATCATGGCCTTTAAAAAAAAAATTAATAAGATGGTAAGAAAGTTGTGATTTTTTTGTGTGGATAAATTGAATATATTTAATAAGGGTAAACTTGGAAAGCAAAAGTTAGCTTGTATAATATATTAATGACATTGTTTTAAGTGTAAGGAGAATGACACATGTCAAGCAAAAAATAGAGAAGGTCCAAAGGAGAAGGTTAGAGAGAAGGTTGCTAGCATTCCTCTATTACTAATACTAGCCTCTTGGCGCATGTGCCAATTAGTTGTCTTCTATAAAAGTAGGATACATGTTCTGATTTTGTTTTTTTGTTTTTTTTTTGTTTTTTAATATGAAAAATTATAAATTTACCATATTATCCTTACTTAATTAATACTCTCAATTCTTAATATTTGCATTAATTAATGGCATTTTCTGGTATTTTGAATGTTTCCTAATTCTCTACTTCTGTCTTTATATATAAGATTCAATTTGCTCCATATATTTTTTGTTTTCATGCCTTTATTAGGGTCATGTTAGGGAGACCGGATAGAGATGGAGACCACCAATACAATGGATATCACCTGTATTAGAAATGTGGTTTAAAAAGTGGTAAATGTGGTATTCCTAGCATTTTCCTCTTATAAAAGCATAAGAAGTGTGCTCCACATATTGTGGTTGCGAATTACCTACACTAGGCAATATATGAAATGGGTTATAACAAATTTGATCCCAAATAGGTTATAACAAATGAAACTAAGACAACAAATATCTTAATTAATAATTCACAATTTTACTCCTTATAATTTGATTTAATTGTTTGTATTACTAATGTATCTTGTCCAGGTAGCAATCTTCATCTTCTTTTCAAAAATGAGGGACTTGAGATCTTTGAGCACAAAAAGGATGGCTATCATGAACTTTTTTGTTTTGTTGCAATATGTGCCGCGAGTTCTTTGTATCTACTTATCATGTAAGGAACTTAAAAGGACTCCTAAAGGAGGGACCGGAGCACTTAAATCAATGTTTTTAATTCCAGAAAAAATAATAATTGTGTTTCCATATTTGCCCTTGATAAACTAGTCCAATTCTCCTATTTCTTTTATCATCGTGGAAAACACAAAAACTAATTCTTAAAGATAAAACAAAAATCAGACCCAAAAAAAAATAAAATTGGATAAGTGAGACTGCCATATGGGTTAAAGGTGTCCTGAATTTCTTTATGTACATCCTCGCTAGTCATGTAAGTAACAATATTTAATCTTGATGAATGGCATGATTTGTTTGGAATTTTTTTTTTGTAAAAGGCTAGGTTCTTAACTCAATCAACCTTGATGAATGACAATATTAATGTACATGGGTCAAAATGATCCATATTACAATAGAGTACATATACTTAATATTCTTGGGTTATATTTTCGAAAAACCATAATATATCATCATAACATTAAGTTCTTCTTCGATCTCTCTCTCTCTCTCTCTCTCCACACCAGATCTGGATCTCTCTCATATAACCCTTTGACCCAAAATATGTAATTAGAGGTAGAAAGCATGTATCAGATTTCCTTCGATTTGGTACAATTTGGCGTTATTGGCAAACACATGTTAAGAGCAAAAGATGACATGTATTGCCATATCATGACATGGCGTTATTGACAGATGACATGTGTTGCCATATCATGTGCCACATGTGTTGGTATCCAAAAATTAGTAAATAAGTTGGTGCCCGTAGCGTTATTGGAAAAAAAAAAAAAATCAAAAGAGAAGGTTAGAGAAAAAGTTGATAGCATTCCCCTTATTTAATATCAATTAGGACAAGTGCTCACTCACCTGCTGCCAAAAATAAATCTCTCCTTTTAATGACCGTGGAGCCCAGGTGCATTCAAGGAGACTCAAAACGTGGCAGAAAATAGTCCACACAAATAGGTCACGTGGCCCCGCAAGAAGACATTTACCATTATAAACTTGACGGAAAATACAGTGACTTCAGTTGTAGAAAATTTGAGATTTAAAAGGGGTTTTGCTCCATCATTTGCAAATTCACCTACCAAGATCGGATTCAATTTCTGTAAATTAAAAAAAAAACCAGAAGGTTTGAGTTTTACATGGCTAACGGTGAAGTAGCTATAGCTTTGGAGAAGATGGAAGAGAAAGCTGAAGCAATTCCAGTTGCAGACAACTCGAAAGAGAAAGTTGCAAGGTTAGTTTGTATATATAAGTACAACTTTAACATGGATGCACTATTTTCATTTTTTCCTTTCTTATATCAAACAATGTAAAGTTGCCACTACAGAACAGAACCTTTTGTTGTTTTGAGGACAGCAAGGTTGTGTTTGAATGAGGGACTTCTTCACTTCTTCAAAGTGATGAGCGTTTGAAGTGAGGAGATTTCAAAGTGAGAGATTAGTAAAGTCCCTTGTTTGGCTAATTATTTTATTAATTGGATTTGATTAGGTAAGTTCTTATAAAGTCATTGCGATGCAATAATCTAACCACAGCCAAATTTTTAATTATCTTCAAACGAGCTGATAGGCGCAAATTTTTTTTTCTTCTTTTTCTCCAGTAGTCATTCAAAACCAGAGGCTACAGTGGAAAATTCAGTCATGAAAGATGAACATGGATCAAGTAAGAAATGGTCACCAAAAGAGGAGGAAGCTCATGATCCTCCTCAGGGGTGCTTCCTTCAAAAGTGGAAGAAGATATTTGTAGCGTCGTGTCTGTTTGCTGTTTTATTGGATCCATTGTTTCTCTACGTTCCTATGATGAGGGATGAAATCAAGTGCCTGCTATACGACAGAAACTTGAAGATTGCCGCTCTTCTTTTAAGATCAGTCACTGATCTTTTCTATATATTGGACATCATTTTTCAAATTTATGCATCACCCAACTATTCTGATGTCATGGATCTATATCGTCGTATTAGGCTGTACTGCTCGAAAATAAGATTTTGGAGGAAATATTTTGTGCCAACAATTGCTAAGACAATCTTGGGGTCATACAATATCTTAATTGACATTATGGCCATTCTTCC